CAGCGCCACATTTGGCAAAAAACCAAACGAAACGCCTCATGCCAACTGTCAAGCACGGTAGTGGAGGGGTAGTGATTGTGGCTTGTTTTGCAGCCACGGGACCTGGGAACCTTGCAGTCATTGAGTCACCATGAACTCCTATGTACTGAATACCAAAGTATTCTAGAGTCAATGTGACCTCAGCTGAAGCTTGGCTGAAATTTGGCCATGCAACTGGACAAGGAGCCCAAGCACACCAGCAAATCTACAACAGAATCAAGGTGTCACAATGGCCCAGTCAAAGTCCAGACCTCAACCTAATTGAAATGTTGTGGTGGAACCTTAAGAGAGCTGCGCATAAACAAATACGATGGCACAAACCTCAATGAACTGAAGCAACTTGAAGAAGAGTGTGCCAAAATCCTTCCACAATAATGTGAGAGACTGACAAAACCATACAGAGAACGAGTCCTTCAAGTTATTGCTGCTAAATCGGGTTCTGCAACCTACTGAATCATAAGGTGTACATAGTTTTTCACACATGGCGTCTCCATTTTGGCTTTGTTTCTGTTAAATAAATCATGGCACAGTGTGATATGTGTTGTTGTTCATCCGAGGTTGTATTTACCTAATTTTAAGACCTGCCAAGGAACAGGTGATTGTTATTATGTCCTGATATGTAAAACCACAGAATTCAAAGAGGGTGTGCTTTCTTTTTCCCACGACTGTAGTTTTTACTTCGTACTGTGTGAAGAAGTACAGTGGTACCTCGGGTTAAGTACTTAATTCGTTCTGGAAGTCTGTTCTTAACCTGAAACTGTTCTTAACCTGAAGCACCACTTTAGCTAATGGGGCCTCCCGCCACCGCCGCGCGATTTCAGTTCTCATCCTGAAGCTAAGTTCTTAACCCAAGGGACTACTTCCAGGTTAGCGGAGTCTGTAACCTGAAGCATATGTAACCTGAAGCGTATGTAACCCGAAGTACTACTGTATTAGGATAGTATTTATTGAACAAAACTGTATTCAGGCTTTCTCAATATCGATTTCAATGGAAACAGACAAACAATGGAAAATTGTCTGCACCAAGTAAGTAACCCAAGGTACCACTGTACTTTATTTGGTCTGTTCCAAATGCAGTCAGTTTTCACTCTACATCTGGCTCAGAGATGCACATTTCTTGGAAGAAAGCCAGCCTGGTTTCATTTTATTTCCAGTAACCAAACAGGACACTGAAGAGGTATAAGCCTTGTTGGAAATTAGCGCAGGAAGGAAGAGGGGCATAGTTCAAATTGGACAAGCATTTGCCTAGTTTAGTCACCTGGGCTGGGGTGTGTTAAGTGTGATTTGCTGATGGCAGGAACTGGATCTAAATTTAGATCAAAGCAACCACTGAGGCAGTTTAACAGCTACTTTTGCAGTTGTCCCAGATAAAGTACTGGAGGCAGACAGCAGGTAGTTGGAAATGCATTTAGTGCTATTATCTGAGAAAAACTTTTTAGAATCCAGTGTGAATGCCTAATCCTACTTTAATTATAACATGAAGAATATATCCAGAATTCAGACTGTTGAAGGATTTTGCATTTTTGCATTTATATTTGTTTTAAATATTTGGATGCCAGTTTCTTGTTCTGTTGTTGATGTTCCTTTGAACTGTGCTTCAGATGATGTGGGCCTTCTGGGCACTCTCAATTTTGCAATTGGGCAGAACAGTCCACTGTTTGCCAAATAGGTATCAAGACATAACAAGCATCTCACATAGCATCTAAAACATGGGGAAGCCTATATTGAAGCAGCCCCAATAAGATAGTATCTTCAAGCCCAATTCAGGGAGAAGAAATAATTGTTGAAGAAGCTAAACTAAAAGCACATTCAGACAGGAGCCTCATAAACTCTGAATCAAAAGAAGTGTTTCAGGAGAAAAGACAAATCCCACCCAGTCATTTTCTACAACCCACTCCTTTTCTATCCACGCTACAAGATCCCAGGTGACTGGACAGTCTGCAGTGGTTTCTGCCAAGTCATGGGGGTTTGATAACTGGTTTGATGTGATCAACCCAGCTGGGATAAAGTCATTTCCCAGGGCCTTACTGCTCTTCAGGTTTCTAATTAATACACAGACTTCTTCTACCATAACTGGAGTAAAGTGGAAGTTTTGTCAGCTCTGCAGAGTAATCATCACAAATAGGGGAAATTGTCAGTAAATACTGTTTTAAAATGTTTCTCCCATACTTGGGCTGAAAAAATGCAGCTAGGGTTCCAGGCAAAGTTCCTTTGGTCCCTACTTCAGGTTCCAAACTGTGTTCCTAATTCAATTCTATTTCTGAACACATGTGAATGCCCACTTTCCATCAAAGTGTGGTGGGCTCCCTTGAAATACTGATTTAAAGATTTTGGTATTTGGCCTGGGAAAGGGATTAGTGGCGAGAAGGTACAGTGTTTCTGTGCACTCTGGCTTCCGTCATGGTGTTTTGTTTGCCGGAAGTGGTTTAATCCTGCTGGTCACGACCGGGAAAGCTGTCTGTGGACAAACGCTGGCTCCCCCAGCCTGAAAGTGAGATGAGCACAGCAACCCCATAGTTGCCTGTGTCTGGACTTAACCATCCAGGGGTCCTTTACCTTTTACTTTTATATTTAACCAATGGAGTCAATCAGCTCATGGTCAAAAACTATGGTCTGAAAAGCCTTATCAAAATAGACTGCTTATGTTCTACTACACTGTGGGCTGTATGAACAAGGCAGGGATCAGTTAATTAAATCCTTATTGGTAAATTTACCTAGAAATTCTGATACCTTCTGTCTCAAGTATCTTCTCGAAGTTAAGTCAGATGATATTACCCTGGCCGTGGCAAAATTTCTCGGAGGTAATAAGAAACCAACATGCTCTGGATAAAACATAGTGACTGCCTTAGAATCTTTTCCCTGTATCTGCTGCATTTTGCTTTCAAAGCTGTTTTTTGTGGGGTTTTGGACCATAATATAGAATGTTTGTGCAATGTTTTCTCCTTTAGCGGCGGAAGGCAAAATTGAGTAGGACGTTCATTAACAGTACCACCCCAAAGGGGAACCTCTGCCTGTGCCCAACATAAGACAAATTGGGGGGGGGGACCCTTTCCCAAAGAGGTGTGCTTCAACAGAAATAAAGTTGAGGCAGCAATGTGTCTGAATACTAGTAACCATCAAGGGTCCTTTACCTTTTTTACCAGTTGTTGGAAACCACAAGAGGGGAGAGTGCTCTCGTGGTCAAATCTTGCTTGCTGGTTTCCCATGTGCAACTGGTCAACAGCTGCGAAAACAGGATACAGGCCTAGATGGGCCATTGGCCTGATCCAGCAGGTTCTTCTTAAAGTAGTTGCACCATGTTTTCAATCAGCAGTGATGTTCTTACATGCCCTGAGAGTTGAGAGAATGACATGCAGTCCCTAATCTGCCTAGATTGCTTGGATTTCGATGAAGGACCTGTGGTCCTTCAGATGCTGCTTGATGGACTGCAACACCCATAATCTCTGATCAGTGGCAATGCAGGCTGGGACTGGTAGGAGCTGGGAGTAAAATAACTTCTAGAAATCACAGGTTCCCCACCTCTGCCTTAGAGACTGGAGTAAATTACCATATTTTTTGCACCATAACACTCACTTTTTTCCTCCTAGAAAGTAAGGGGAAATGTCTGTGCGTGTTATGGAGGGAATGCCTACGGGTGGCATGCCTACGGATTTTCCTCCTCTAAAAACTACGTGCGTGTTATGGTCGGGTTCGTGTTATAGAGCGAAAAATACGGTAACCAGAACTCCCTTGTGTATTTGAGGCACAAGAGCTTTGCAAAGTCTACCTTGTGCGACTCCTTCAGGTTCTGAAATGCAGATGAAAAGGGGAAAAGATCAGCTGATTCTATAGGTGAAGTTAATCTTAGGTAGAAATCGACTGCCTGGATTTGGGGGACTTCACCTTGACTGCCAGCATGGACTGCATCTTCAAGACATTATTTTTGAAACGCATCCCCTTTTAGAGTGAATTTTGAAAAATATTTTCTGCAATCCATAAAGTGGCAAAGCATTTGCCCAGACCCATTTTTATTTACGTGGACTTTTAAAAAAATTATCTTGTTCAGCTTTTTACCTTTGAAATGCTTAGATTATTTTAATAAATTATCTTTACTGCTACAAGGCTCTGCTACGAGAGGTTAATGCCACATTCTATCCCTACCCAAACTAGTTCTGGTTCACGTTACTAGGGATTGAACCTATCATAAGTTTTTTTTAAACTGTTTTAGGCTTAATAATTATTGGGATACTATCTGGACCTTTAAAAAGTATACTGTATTGGTAGCCCTAAGGCCTAAACTAACAAGTAGGGGCAGCCTGCTGAGTTAGATGTGTTTTGTCCTTTTAAGATGGATTGGTGATCCCTGAATTTTAGGATGCATGCTTGCCTCAAGGCCTCTCATCATCAATTTGCAAATCCATGAACAGAATTCTTAGGCTTTGACCTAATATGTCCACCATGCCCACTGTAGTCCTTATGCCATTAGAAGTCAGAAACTGACCAAGCTTTGCTCCTTGGCTCTTAGTGCCCAGGGGATGTTCTCCCATCCATGATCCTTCTCCCCTCAGTAAGAAATGCAGAGTGAAGTTGTATCCTCGTTCTCTGTCCAAGAAGCATAAAGAATTGTTGATACTGCAGCCACATGAGCCACAACCTTCCCCCTCTCCCTATCTAATCAAGCAGATAAGGAAAAGTTGATCTCCGCTCTATGATTAATAAAGTTCCACCAACTAGAAAGGGCTTCCACAGGAAAGATGTAGACAGAACTCAAGAATCTATTTCACGCCATGAAAGTACTGTACTGTATTCCCATTCACTAAGAGCAGACTAAGCTCTACAGCACCTTGTTTTTAAACTGATCCCACCACTCTGGGTTAGGTTGTGGGTAGGAATTGCCTCTTACAATATTTAAAATGCTTATAGTGGAATTTCACAAGATCAGAAGTACTTTTAAAACGTTTTTTGAATCAAGCACCAACAAATTCACAGTCAAAGTTTTTATTCAGCATTAAGCTAAATACATTACACATTTTGGTGGAAGCTTAGAATTATGTTGAAAAGAACCAAGAACAAACTGACTTTAAATTTTAGACTGCAAAGCAACGGTTCACTAGTCATCTGAACAACTAATGTCATAATCCTTAAACGTTTTCTTCAGTATTGCCACAGTCATGGAATGATCAGCTTTACCATATGCCTGTAGGAAAGAAGAATGCACAAAATTATTACTCCTAAAGAGAAAATGTGTGTGCTAAAGATTCTTGCTAGAATTTCTTCAAATAATAATAATAATAATAATAATTTATTATTTATACCCCGCCCATCTGGCTGGGCTTCCCCAGCCACTCTGGGCGGCTTCCAAAAAAAATATTAAAATACTCTAATACATCAAACATTAAAAGCTTCCCTAAACAGGGCTGCCTTCAGATGTCTTCTAAAAGTCTGGTAGTTGTTGTTCTCTTTGATATCTGGTGGGAGGGCAGACAACATATGATTACCAATCTCATTTTTCATTTGTTTAATAAGTACCTAAGTGCACCACATAGTTTGTATCAACTGGGATCTTTTTTCTCTGTTCTCTACCCAAAAGGCCAGATTACTCCCCCATATGATAGTAAGACATGCTTGGGAAACGAAAAGGAAAATGAGGATGGAAAATCTGTCCTGTGCTTTCTCCAAGAGTAGTGGGGAAAACAAGAGAAGTAAGAATATATAACAGTTCCTACACCATCCTAAATCCATATTAGGCCAATCAAAATTTAACAAAACCGTTTGCAAGCTTTTAAGATCTCCAGAACTCTTCCTGATGCTAGATATTAAAGAGAGGTTTTTTTTTTTTTTAAGCTCATTAAAATTGTGATAAGAATGGCTCTCCTTTGCATGTGAGAAGTCTGGACCTCTTATTAGCAACCTTTAAATAGTCAATATAGTTGTAGATGCTGGACTTCAGCAAACCAGTCTTGATTGATTCTGTGGCTCTTCTCACAGGTCATTTTACTAGCTTGTTTTAGGATGCTGTCACCTGCCCTGAGCTTTTGTAGCAACTTGATTATAAAATTATATTTTCATAGGGATTTATTTTGAAGAATTCGGTATTTTATTCATAAAGCTTTAAAATAATACAAGTAATTTCTTGTTTCCTGTAAAAGTATATTTCTTAGTGGATTATGCAGTGACTGACATTCACATACTAAACAAATATTCAAGTTCTGTCAGTATTATGTAATTTGTAAAATTGTCTGCTTCTTCTCAGAGACCAATATGAAACACATTTTTGTGACATTATCATTAATTACTAGCATATTTGCAAAGTGAATCGTCATATTTAGAAACTGGATGTATACAACACTTACTGGAGAAACACCAGATACATGGATTTTTTTGTCTCTGCTATTGTGCTCAATTTTTCCTCCTCCAAGACACTTGCACATACAGCCCATCTTTTCAATTTCAGAACATATCTTTTCATATATGTGATCTACAAAACAATAATAGTACTAAGAATACCTTATAAAAATAAAGGTGGAAATACCTGAAGTACAAAAATAATTATGCCTCATTTGAACGTTAGCATTTAATATGTTACAGCTGTACAGATTTGGAGCATTTTTAACATGGGTGGTTCAGGCCTAAAGACGTCAGGAATTATTACAAAGGTTGGTGCTCCTCATCTTTTCTTATTTATCAATTGAGGGGGAAACCCCCATTAGAATAGAGAAATTCAGTGACTAGTTGTACTTAAGCCTGGGAGAACCGCATTTATTATTGGATTTCACTGAATGGCCATGGGCAAGCGTACAGTATTTTATTCTCAGTCCATCTTCTGTAAAATGGCATTAGCAGTGACTTACTTCCTAGGATTATCAGAAGAATAAGGTATGGTTGTAAAGGACTTTTGAGTGATTCAAGATGTGTGTTCAATATGGGATTAGTGCTACTCATGCGTTAAGATTTCCACAGTATCTCACTGTCAATACCATCAAAATCCCAGTCTGTATCTCCCTCCCTCCCCAATTTCGTCCAAACATACCCTTTCTAGGGGAAGGTTCAGTACATTAAACAAAACCTGTTATTTATGACCCATTTGTGATATCTCGTTGACCCATTTTTACAGTATTACACCCCTATCTAAAAGCACCTTTTCACTAAAAGCACCTTTTTATTGAATGTCCTGGAAGATTGAAATGTTCTCCTACTGGTTTCTCTGTCTTGTGATTCCTGGTGTCAGATTGGAATCACAAGACAGAGAAACCAGTAGAACACTTCAATCTCCCAGGACATTCAATACAAGAGCAGCTGTCTTATTAAAAAAGAATTTCAGAAATAGATGAGAGAAGTTGCTGAATTACAACTTATTACTAAACTGAAAACTATGGAGACCAGGTCTGAAGAGAGATATTGGATTCTTGTCTCATTACAGATGCTAAAGCTATTTTTGGTCATCTGCATACTATCCCTTGCTTTTTCCTATACCCATTGAGTCAATCACACATCTCCTACTACCCTGAGAAATACCCCACCCCACCCTCCCACTATATATAAGGGTCTGGTGACTTCTGTTTCAGTGTATCTGAAGAAGTGTGCATGCACACAAAAGCTTATACCCAGAACAAACTTAGTTGGTCTCTAAGGTGCTACTGGACAATTTTTTTATTTATTTCTACTGCTATATGTAATACTCCGGGCAGCGCAACAGGTATATTCAGGCTGGCTCAAAATAAGGAAAAATATGAGGAGGTTCGGATGGTTCCCCACTCCCCCTTAAAAAAACCATGTTAGGAATATATAGGGGATTGTGAAGGCATCTTAACACTTTAGGGCAGGATTTTCAAACTTTAATAATAATTTATTATTTAAACCCCACCCATCTGTCTGGGTTTCCCTAACTTTATACCTGCACTAGTTCATACTCTTGTACGTGAACCATACATATGGCCTAGTATTTAAGTCTTCTAACTGGGACTACAAAGTTTATATTTCAATTTATTTTGGGATCTCTCCCCCACCCTTATAAAAAAAACTATCATACTTCCATTTTCTAGTGTTTGTAGTACCCCGCTGGACTCCAGTGTATCAAATTTCATTTTTCTAGGTGTCGCAGAAGTCCCAACCAAGCTGCTGACAAGTGTATTTATGAGAAGCCCAGCCATGTTCCTTCTTCCCACAAGCAAGACAAAGCAACAGAAGAAAAATTGCTGGTGGCAATGCAGACACACGTTTGCATTCTTCTTCCAACAGGCTTTGGGAAACTAACAGATTTTTATTTAAAGGGTGGGCACCATGCCATTTTTATTGTAATTGTTTGGGGGGGGTGGAGCAAAAGAAAATTTGTTGATCTTTTTGGGGGGAAATGTCCCCAAAAAGCACTTCTGAGTTCTCAGGTTAAAAAAAAAAGATTGAGGACAATTACAGGGCATGGGCAAAGCCAGGATTTTTGTGTATTTTTAATGATATAAAAATCATTGGCTGCGCCTATGTTACACCGTGGGGGGCCCTCAGGCTTTCATTTCGGGGTCAAGCTTCTGCTGGGGCGGTGGTGGTGCAGAACCTTGTTAATTATTTTTTAGCACCCTTCAGTAATTTTTGACTGGGGCGGCGGCTCTTGGCTATGCCCATATTCACATGGTTTAATTGGATGATAAATCTCTACCTGTGGGTGTTTTTTTATTTTTAAAAAATGATTGTCCCCACCTCCCCCCCACCAAATGTTTCTATATCTGTGTGGCTTTTTTTAACTCCCCCCCGCCGCATTTCTAGCTGTTATTTTTATCGGTGGTTTTTAGAAATCGGGCATAGGCAACCTATGGCCCTCCAGATGTTTTAGCCTACAACTCCCATGATCCCTAGCTAACAGCAGCCGGGGTCAGGGATGGTGGGAGTTGTAGTCCAAAACATCTGAAGGGCTGAAGGTCGCCAGTTTTAAATGATTGCCCCCCCCACCTCTCCCTCCCTGCCCAATGTTTCTGTTGTTACTTTTGGTTTAAAAAATGGTTCTTCCCCCCAAAAAATGTTTCTAGGTATTATTTTTTATCTGTGGGGGTTTTTTTTAAATCATTTCCCCTCCCCCGACGCTAAATGTTTCTAGCTATTATTATTTTTATCTGTGGGTTTTTTTTGTTTTCCCCTTCCCAACCCCCGCCAAATGTTTCTAGCTGTTATTATTTTATCTGTTAAAGAGTCCCTAATAACAATTCGCAAAGTGGTGGATTGAGCGAGAGACGCTTATGTCTTATTTTCCCATTTGTGAGCCGCCTGGCCGGGGGGTGCGAAGGCGTCGTGTAAAATCTCATCTCTCACTGTGCAACTCGGCGGAAGCGGTCCCCCTCACGATGTCTCTGCACTCGCCGCCACGGCTTGGGCTGCCGCCGCCGCGGCTTGGGCTGCCAATACGGCCTGGACTGCAGCCTTGTTGGCCACCACTTTGGCCACCGCCTTGGCCGCTGCCTCCGCGCTGCACCCGCACCAGGATGTACTTGAAACAGCCGTCGGAGTCGATCTCCACCTCGGCCAACTCGCCCGCAAAGCAGCCTGATTTAGGCGGCGACGACGACGCCATGGCCTAGCTCTGCCCAAAGGGAGAGTAGCGCAGGATACCTCCCGCCCCCCACTAGCCCCGCTTGCGCGCAGACAGAAAATGACGAGCGAGGTGAAAACGGCGCCTCTCTTTCCCTCACTCCCCTCAGGAATAGCCTCGCTCGGAACGGAGACAAACGGCCCTCGCAAAACGGCGAGCGCTCATTGGCTCGCGCCTTACCGCGCGAGGCCCTGGTTGGACAGAGCGCGCGCGAAGGGCGGTTAGAAAGACTCGAATAACGGTCGGCGTCTCTGTGGCGGTTTTTTTTGGCGCGCTCGGGCGCGTGGTTGCCGTTGGCGCGTTGGTTTTCTTTAGGTTTTTTTTGTCATTTTTGAAAAAGAATTTCTCTAATTAAAAAAATAATAATTAGTTTTTACAGATTTTGACAGTTTACAAGCAATTATCAAACAACCAAAATAAAAAGAGATTCCCGAAGAATTTCCTCAACTTCCCTCCTGCCCTTTGTGGGTCTTTATATTAACCTTTCCCTCATGCATCTTGTCTGTTCATCCAAATCTTTTAAAAGTCCATACGCAAAAAAATCAACATTAAACTACAAGTGTCATTCCAATCCTACTAATAATTTCAAGAATCAGAAGATTCTTCTCACTCTTCTTCAACATTATGCTACAAATGTCATTCCAATCCTACTAATAATTTCAGTTGTTTGCAATGGTTTTTAAGGTAAATTATACATTTTCCCCATTCCTTATTGAAATTTTGGTCTTTAAAAAAATTATATTTTTCAAGTTTATACATTTCACTACTTTTACAATCATTTTGACATTTCAAAACTTGGCTTCCTTCCCCCTCTTTCTGTGGTTCCTTAAATTTATTTTAAATATCTTCTGCATATCCAAATTAACTTAATTTGTTCATTTATTCGTCTTCTTTAAATATATACTCTTAGGAAACTGCAGGTTATTACAATAATCCTGCCAATGTTTTTATCTGCTTACAACAATAGACAATAAACCATTTCCATTTTATTAAAAAAATGTTATCTTGATTTCTTGTTCTTCCAGTAAGTTTCACCATTTCTGCATATTCCATAAGTTTTTGTATCCGTTCTTTCTGGGACTTTTTTTTTCCATTTTTGGTCTTCCTGGTTTCTGATCCTTCTGGTCATTTTTTGACAAATTGGCACAGTCCATCAACTTTGAATCTGCCATTTTTCTCTGAAGAAGAATGGTTTTGTTTTGCTTTGCTTTGTTTTTTGACACTGCAAGCTGCCTTGTGGTCTTAGGGTGAAGGGTGGTGTTTAAGACAAATAAATAAATGCATAAATGAATGAATGAATAAGCAAGCTCACAGAACAGGTTACCTATTCGGGTATCCTGTGCAGTGTGGCACATTTATTTACCTCAGAGTAAATAGTGCTTAGGGCTTAAAATAAATAAATGAAGGAATGGCTTCCTTCCCCAAAATTTTGAAAGTTTTGCACCATTATGCTACAGAGACTGTAAATACCATTAAAAGACACACACACACACAAAAATGACCTGAGTTGGTTTAATGAAATTCTGAAGTTGGTTCCTAGTTCACAGATCCTTTTCAGCAAAAAAATCCTGAATATCAAACTGAAGTTTCCACACTTTTGCTCCCCAAAACAGACCCTCCAAGTGTCCCTATTTCTCAGGGACAGCCCTGGATTTAGAGAAGCCATCCCGGCTTCTGATTTGACCCCGGAATGTCCCACTTTTCCTTAGGACATCCTTATTTTCATCAGATAAATGTGGTGGTGTTATCTGCCTCCCGAGCCATCTGAAGGCAATCCTGATTTGGGAAGTTTCTTTAAAAAATGTTTAATGTTTTATTATGTTTTTATATATGTTGGAAGCTGCCAGGAGTGGCTGGGGCAACCTAGTAAGATGTGTGGGGTATAAACAGTATAAATATCATGATGGAATGGGATGTCCCTATTTTCAACAGAGAAATGTTGGAGGGCATGCCAAGATAACTTTGAGGACATACCAAATCATACATCCCAACCATCAGAAAAACTCTCCTTTGAAATTTTTTGTCAAGCCCTTATGGTAGGTTGAAAGGGGAACCCTTTTTCTATGAATGGCCATAAACCCATAGGGAAAGTCACCCAAGGGCCAGAGTCATGGTGGGTGGAATTGCAGTGAGAGAGAGAAAGAGGTGGGAGATCCTGAGAAGAGAACAAGAGTGGAAGGTGGTGAGCCGGAGAAAAGGAGGTAAAGCTCACTCATAAACAGGACTGGTCTGGTCATTAACGCTCATACAGCACAATCTTCTATGGGCCAGTGTGTTTATGGTTTTGGGTGGCCCAAGACTGATGTGCAAGGCTTCAGTTCTCGTTTTGTTAGTGTATGACTTAGGTGCCTTATGTCCGAGGATGATGGAACATAAAAACAAAACTTTGAACCGGACACAATGCTATAGCACCCGGAAAATAGTCTTCCAGAAGGAGGGGTATAGGATTTGGGTGGTCCAAAATTTATGCTTCAGTATAGTAATGTGTAGGGACGTGGGTGGCACTGTGGTGTAAACCACTGATCGGAAGGTCGGCGGTTCGAATCCCCGTGACAGGGTGAGCTCCCATTGTTCGGGCCCAGCTCCTGCCAACCTAGCAGTTCGAAAGCATGTCAAAGTGCAAGTAGATAAATAGGTACCACTCTGGCGGGAAAGTAAACGGCGTTTCTGTGCGCTGCTCTGGTTTCACCAGAAGCAGCTTAGTCATGCTGGCCACATGACCTGGAAAACCTGTCTGCGGACAAACGCTGGCTCCCTCGGCCAGTAAAGTGACATGAGCGCCGCAGCCCCGGAGTCATTCGCAACTGGACTTAACTGTCAGGGGTCCTTTACATTTTTATAGTAATCTGTAAACAGTTACTTCCTTGCTTAGGTTGCTTCTAAACCTCTGGGTTGATGGATAGTCTCATAACCTATGACAAAGTAGATAGATGGAGGCATTTCAAATGAGAGCTGGCTTTGCACCAATGAATAATTCCCCTCTTCAAGAAAAATTATGAGCAAACCATTTGTGGGCAATTTTATATCTGTTGTGTTGCCCATGTAGACTGAAATATATGCGGATATGGGTATGGGAAGTACATCTGGTACCAGAAAGATAAGATGGTTTTAGAAATCAGCATTCCAAGCATGCAAACTGTCTATAGATAGTTAATATTTAGTCACTGGCTTGCATTTCTAGAGGCATTGTTCTTTTGTTCATTATGCCCAAGAGACTTCTTATTTGCTCAACAGGACATCTAATGGAACGTTTCTTCAAAGAAAAGGAAGTGCTAATGGCTCATATACGGGACAGCACTTCAGTTGATTGTTCAGTGACTAAGGGCCAATCTGCAGAGAAACTTCTCAAAGGTGCCCACTTATGGCTCACAAGGCATGTACACACAGAGACACAGAGAGAGAGGAGTTGTAAAATTGAATTTCTACTTTTAGTTATTTCACTGCCTAAGTGAAATGTGCATTTAAACAGCATTGGTTTTCTTTGCTCTGGGGTCCGAGTTCTTTTTCTACTGAACCGTGTCAGTAGTGTCCCACATGCTGAGCAGGGTGGGAGACATCAAAATGATAATAAAATACATAGTAGGAGAAGGCCAGCCGTTCTCTGACATTTATTTTTCTATGTGCAAAAGATTTGCTTTGTATGGAGGAAAGATCCCCTTGGTGTGCTCTTTTTACTCACAAGAAACAATCCTCGCTTGAGCCCAAGTATGGTGTGGCAAACAGAGGGTTCACTCAAGGGAGAGGTACCAGTACTTCTGAGGAATCTGGTCACTCACTGCTGCCACCATCAAGATCTCCCTTCCTTTGAAGTCCAAGAAGCTTCGTTCAGAGCTACAGGGCTGCGTTGCACTTTTCAAGCCTGTCAGTCACCACCAGCATTTTTTTTTAAAGACTCCAGACAAGTGCATAGAGAAATGGTAAGTTGCATTAAAAAGAAAAAAGATAACCAAGGAAACTTAAGTAATCCTTGATCTAGATTCTAAAGTTAGTTTCAGTAACTCACATACCAGCAAAACATCCTTCTTTACGTCAAGACAGGGAGATATTTCACTTTCCCCAGGCAGTGAACATAGAGAAATAAGTATGTTCAAAACTAGCTACTTTGATGTTTTGTCTTGGGTGGGAAGAGCTGGCATGGGGGAAAGTCAGTCATATAGGATTCTGAACTTCTGTTTTGCACATATGCTGGAGATGGGTGCACTGAAGTCGTTAAGGGCTTTGTATGCTAATAATAGTAGCACCTTGAACTTAGCCCAGTAGCAAACTGGCAACCACTGGGAGTCTGAGTAGCGGTGTTACATACTGAAGGGGGTCTCATGTCTGCCAATAATTGTGCCACAGCCTTCTGCACCTACCTGCAGTTTTCAGATCGCGCACAAACAAAATAAAAATGCCCCCCCATTCGTCAAGGGAGGGGGGCAGTCACACTGGTTTGTTAGTTTGAAAAAGGTACATCGCAAACACATGAGCATAATGTGGGGTGCTTATCCTCATATTCCTATTGGCTTGGGCAAGAGGCAGAGGCCACTAACATAACTATACACCATGGGAAATTTTAAATGTGAGTCCTTTCATCCTAGGGGTTACAACAGCAGAGGCTGCAGCGAAAGGACAAGGAGTACAATAAGGACTTTTTATATTGTAAACCACACTGATCTTCAGATGCAGGGCGGTATAGAAATTTAATTACCGTATTTTTTGCACCATAACACTCACTTTTTTCCGTCTAGAAAGTAAGGGGAAATGTCTGTGCGTGTTATGGAGCGGATGCCTACGGGTGGCATGGGGGGATCTGCTGCAGTCGTGAGCAGAGGATCCATGGTTCCCCTTCCTTCCCTCCTCCGTGGCTCGCTTTGAAACAGCAGAGCAGGAGAGGAGCCGCTTACACAGGTGTAAGCCGCTCTTGTCTGGTTGGCTGCTTTAAACCGTGCTCTCTGCCCCTCTCTCCTCCCCACTCAGGTCACTAAATAGCAGAAAAGCTTTTCAGCTCTCTAAGCCAGGGAGGAGGGAGAGAAGCAAAGCCTGCTTGTTTTAAAGGAGCAAAGCGGGAGAGGAGAGGAGCCTTCTCCCCTTATACCCCTCTTCTGCATTATTAGCAGCATCCTTCTCCACACACCCCACGCATGCTCCTTGTCCCTTGAGTGCTCTTCCTTCCCTCCCCACTTAAAACGTGGTTACAAAGCACAGATCCACATGGATCCTCAGGATTTTTGCATTGGGCTACCCCAAACTCACCGTCAGATCACATGTCTGTGGCCACAGCATGAACCACAAAAATCATACATCCACTGTTTCATTTAGAATATTTTTTTTCTTGTTTTCCTCCTCTAAAAACTAAGTGCATGTTATGGTCAGGTGCGTGTTATAGAGCGAAAAATACGGTAATAATAATAAAACACATTCCTTAGAATCTGGGGCTGAGAGGACAAGCTTACACTCCCAAAACAAACATTTCTGGCACCAGGGCCCTCTTGGAGCCACACTGTTGGTCGGAGGGACTCAAAACCTCCAACTATGTATATAGGCTACACAATACCCTAGAACTAACTTTTAGAAAATTAATATAAGAATTTCATTAAACGTATGTTCTTTGATATATAATTCATATAGGTGGGACTTCCAGTGAAAAAGGGTGGGGCACCTGGAACTTTTTCTTTGTGATGTAAGGAAGCCTATTTGTTTTTATACACTCAAAATCCAGATTCCAATTAATAAGTGTTATTATTGTTAAGAAAAAGGGATGAGAAAGAAAGGTGGGTATAAATGAAAAAGAAATCCAATAGTTTACTTGCTTAGATAACCTGTACTAGACACTCTTGCAGAGAGATTCAAAATCTTATGTGCAAAATGCATGGATCACCCAATGACAAAGCTGATAAAAAGGATGATTTTTAAAAAAAATACATAGGGAAAGGCCCATCTTTTATCTTGTAAGGTCATGGGAGGAGGGGTTGACAGGCAGAAGAGAATCCATAGGCCTTGACAGTAGCCTTGGAAGTAAATTGGTATGGGGTTATGTGGAAACGAGATATTAGCACTTTCTCAGCACTCCCATAAATACATCAGAGGTGGCCTACTTAGACCTGGGGGGAAACTGGGCAGCTAAGATGAGCCATGGGGGGAAATTCCTCTTTACACCTGGTAGACAAGACACATCAAAAAGGAGGAATTCCATCATATGTGTTTGAGCAGTGCGTCAGTATTTAGAGCACTTCCATATACAGTATATGGGGGTTTAATGTTTCAAATAGGCCACTGACAACAGTTAAAAAATGATAATTGGGTATTTTTCTTTTCAAGCTCTTCTCCACAATGGACAACCTTTGAAAAATCAGTGCCTGGGGGGCAACTCGTGGTTTGGTCCAGTCTGACCAAAACAATACCACATTAATGCTAAATATATATTTATATATAAATCTGACGTACGATTTAAACTTTAAAAATGATGCCCTTCTGGAATCTGCCACAGAAGCAGAGTAAGCATGCTGGCTTAGCATTTACAGTCATAAACGAAGCGCAACTACGGTAAATACCCTTTCAAGTGTTTACTGGACCCTTTGCAACACTTACCAATAACTTTGAAGAACTGGGATTCAAACAATGGATTTGTGGCCTTGAGTTTATCTTCAAATGTCATTAAACACATTTTAGACATGTGAATGTAAACTTTGTAAGGAAGTGCAGCATTACACCATTGTCTGCAGCAGTGCAGGTTTATAGCCCTGGTAGCAAAAGATCTCCACTGGTGCCGTTTTTGTCTTTGTTGAGATTTATTTCTGCAGAGTGATGGCCCACTTTTTATAGTGCAGTTGTGTACTGTAGGGTAGAAGTATGAAATGCTGTTCCACAATTTAAAAAAACTGTACAGTGTGCAACTTTTGGACCATCCTTTGGAATTAACATTATGCTGTTTGCAATTGGTGATGAGTCCAGATATGTTTGTCCTGAGCCCTGGATTCCCTCCCTCTATATTTGACACTCTCATTTATTCCTTCCTGTACAGTTCCATTCAGATATTCAGTACTTATTGGTACTGAGCGTGTGAAAAAATCTGTGGTAAGATGTGCTTTGATGCCACCCTGCATCAAAATACCATTTATGATTTGATTTTACAACACCTGCAGTCCAGTCCTATACAGATCTGCTCAAAGTTGCATCAAGTTCAATTTGGCTTGCTTACTCCCATTTAGGAAGGGACAGAATGACAGATTTATGATTGTAATTGTTGTTTCTGTTGAAAAGTAAAATTCTGTCTCGTTGGCCTAAGTTTAGAGTTCTCTTGCATCCATATTTAAACAAAACGTATCAAAGAGAGCTAGCTGCTCGTGATGTGTGAACACATTTCTTCCACTTGCCTCATGTAAACACATTTTGTATTGTTTCAAACCTATTTGAGTAGAGACAACAGAGAGACAAGAAGAAAGTGTGTAGATACAGCACAGGAAGTGACACTTCTTTCAAATCAGTGTGTCTCCAGCCATATCAAAAACATTGTTCTTTCCCTCGAACTGAATGAGGCAGCCTGTATGATTCAAGCACAAAATTCCAAGTTCTGACAATAGAGAGTGCCAGACAGATTGGAGACTTGAGTCAAAGAAACAAAATTTCCCAGCCTCTTGGGGCTGGCAGGATCCAGGGCTTCCTCACTTTCCACTAAACATAAAACCCGGGCAAGAACAAAAAGATGTTTCAGCATCTTCTTATTTCCATACCCAAAGGACCTTTTCCTAGTAGAAATGTTGTGCCAAACATAGATTTCAATTCTTCTTTTCTACACACAAAGGAGTCATTTAACTTAATACCAAAAGATTAAAGCAACACTCTCTCATACAAGCACCACAAAACAGGAAACATCTTATGTTGGCTGCTGCCACCTCTTCCCACTTTTCCATTGCTAATCATTTCTACCTTGAAATGGTAAACATTTCTAGTTTATTTCTCCATGTTTCTGAGCTTTGTTCAGATCAGTAAAAGTTTTGTTTCTGGGTCTTCAGGATATATATTTGAGCCCATACCTAAATCATAAGAAAGAATGACATACTTTTCAGAAAAGTAGGTTTTTCTCCCAACCAAAATGACTTCAACAGTCATTTTAGGAAAAAATGGTATAAATAAAGTCCTAGTAGATCCTTTGGTCTGTGCATACTCCCCCCGCCAAACCTGCCCCTTGATGGTCTCCCTTCTAGGGTTGCCATATCTTGAAGATCACAAAAGAGGGCATCACGAGCCGCTGCCATCCCAGATGGGCATGTTGGCTCCCAAAGGAGAACATCTCTGGGTTTTCCTGGACCTATGACAACTCTACTCCCTTCTCTCCAAAAGAACTCACATGTAGGGCTTATATTGTTATGTTGTTATGTTATGTTTTATGTTAGTATGCATGCGTGCAAAATTTTGTCCTCACTCACAGCACCATATTACCCAAGTCCGCCCCTGCTAATACTATATAAAACGATTTCTGCAAATGCTTTTTTTTGGTAGAAATATACGTATTATATTTTAAAACAATCACACAGCAATGCTCCTCTAACACTCCTCCCTCAACATGCCCCTACAAAAGACTGAGAGCGACTTTCAAAGAAATATCAGTAGAAAGTCCCTGCTTACAATCTAAGATACACAACACAAAAAGAAAAAGGAATGAAAGAGAGAAGGAAAATATCATAGGGGAGAAAAAGGGTTTAATGGAAAGGATCAAATCTGAACAATAAGATTATTGCTAATAATCTTAATTACCCACTTTCCAGTGAAGCTGGGTAAGCAGCCAAAACAAGCAACTTGGTGGAAGTTTTACAGTGACCTTTTTCCTGATTATCATCAGATGTAAAATCTTGTTTGGACACTGGACAGGAAAGGTATTTCATAACCAAGAAGCTTACAACCTGGTGGAGTTTCCTTCCTTTCTGGAACTTTACTAATGATGTATTATTCCAGTAAAGTTCCAACATGGCATTTAAAAAACTTCAGTCAATAAAAGTAGGTTTCAGTGTTAGTGATGCCTAGTAGGAAGCTCATAAAATCCACTAAGGGGAAAATATCAAATCATAATAAAGCGCACATTTCAAATCACAAATGAATTTTCAGACTTGGGGGGGGGGTATGATTGAAAAGGGTTGCATCATTAAACATGTCAAAGATTATTATGCTACATGATTTCCAATTGCAAACTACAAAGGGAAACTTATATTGGTATTCCTATAGAAATGATGCCTACCACAGGAACAAGCTCCTAGGGGCCAAAGTCCCTTCCCCCCCCCAATAAAATATTTGAGGGGGCTGGGCCCCTCCAAAGTTGATGGACATTGTCATTCAAATGGTGTGTGTGTATGTGTGCCACGTCTTGTGATTGATTGTGCGGGGTGGGGTTTACCTGGGCCCCTCTAATACAGGTGTGCAGCCTGGGAGTCATTTTGTACTCAAAGCTCCATGGAGGTGCAGGTCAATTCTGTGTACGCAGAACACGGCTCTATCTGGTACGCAGGCTGAGACCCTACCTGCCCACAGACTGCCTCGCCAGAGTGGTGCATGCTCTAGTTATCTCTCGCTTGGACTACTGCAATGCGCTCTACGTGGGGCTACCCCGGAAACTACAACTAATCCAGAATGCGGCAGCTAGACTGGTGACTGGGAGTGGCCGCCAAGACCACATAACACCGGTCTTGAAAGACCTACATTGGCTCCCAGTACGTTTCTGAGCACAATTCAAAGTGTTGGTGCTGACCTTTAAAGCCCTAAACAGCCCCGGTTCAGTATACCTGAAGGAGCATCTCCACCCCCATCGTTCAGCCCAGACACCGAGGTCCATTGCCGAGGGCCTTCTGGCGGTTCCCTTGCTGCGAGAAGTCAAGTTACAGGGAACCAGGCAGAGGGACTTCTCAGTAGGGGCCCCCCACCAGATGTCAAAGAGAAAAACAACTACCAGACTTTTAGAAGACATCTGAAGGCAGCCCTGTTTAGGGAAGCTTTTAATATTTAATGGACTATTGTATTTTAATATTTTGTTGGAAGCCACCCAGAGTGGCTGGGGAAACCCAGCCAGATGGGCAGGGTATTATTATTATTATTAATAATAATAATAATTAATAATTTATTCAAGTTGGCGCCCCAATGCCTGCATTCAGTATATATAGGGCCCCTTTTCAGGGCCAGCCTAAACAGCATATGCAAACATGTACATAGGATGATGGCATCTTACATGCAGTTAACTTGCACGATTTTAACTGCACACGGTTGAAATTGCGCAAGGTAAGTCGAACAAGGTGGAGAGCGTAGAAGCTCTTTACACACTGGGTCTACTTCTGGCACAGAAATGTATTTCAAAATCGCCTCCTTCCTTGCTGGCCAAGTCCCGCTTGGCACTTGCGTACCCTCCAAGTACCCCAACTTTCAAGGGACAGTCCTGGAATTACAAAAGGCCATCCTGGCTTCTGATTTGATCCCAGAATGTCCCTATTTCCTCCAGCAGCGCTGCCGCCACCAAGCTCGGGGGGGAGGTGCTTGTCCCGAGCGACGCCCGCTGTGAGTCAGCATCCCGTTGCCTCTCCATGGCTGCATCCGCTGGCCTCCTCCGTTGGGCGGCTCCTAGTGGCTGCTAGAGGGCAGGCAAGGAGGAGGAGAGGCTGCCACTGCCGAGGCCCAGGGCTGAGGGGCAGGGCCGCCCTGGGGAGTGGAGCAGAGCACAAGGTGTCTCAATTTATTTATTTTTAATGCTTTGTGAGTTTGTGTAATCCTGCCCCTTTCTAAAATCGATTTATTGCTGTGTTTCTTTTTGTAACTCTGCCAAAAAAAAATTAAAAATCCAGATTAAGGGATTTTCTCCATGGCCAAGAAAGGAGCAGCAGGGGGCTCGCTTTCAAACATGTAAAAACATTGGCAATTACTGAAGTCCTGGATGTGGCTAGGGGTTATCAGACATTGCCTTGTCTGTGTAGATTATCGCAGTGGCGTAGTGGAGGGGGAGTGGGGTCCGGCAGGGCTGTGGCCCCGGGCATATTTTTTTCAGGGGGCTCGCAACCAGGGGCCCCCATGACAGGTTCCCTCGTCGAGGCCGGAGCTGTGGGCCTTTGGGGTCTGGCTAAAGCGTGCAAGGGAGCTGCCGAGGTAGCTTTCTCACGCAATGGCCCAATGTTGCCAGCCGGCTCCACTTGACCCCGGCTCAGGCTTGACCCCGGGGTGGAAGCGGTGGAGAGGGTTGCAGCAGCAGTATTGGGCATGGGAGTGTGCCTTCCCTCCCTGTGCCAGTTTCCGAGGCTGGAATTGGACCGTCCAACTATAATCATGTGTTGATTTACATTTTCCTTTCTTACAATTTTATAATTGCAAACTGCTTAGAATCCATTTGGGCATGTAAGTGGTAAAAGGTAAAGGGACCCCTGACCATTAGGTCCAGTCGTGATCAACTCTGGGGTTGTGGCGCTCATCTTGCTTTATTGGCCGAGGGAGCCAGCGTACAGCTTCTGGGTCATGTGGCCAGCATGACTAAGCCGCTTCTGGCGAACCAGAGCAGCGCACAGAAACGCTGTTTACCTTCCCACCGGAGCGGTACCTATTTATCTACTTGCACTTTGACGTGCTTTCGAACTGCTAGGTTGGCAGGAGCTGGGACCGAGCAACAGGAGCTCACCCCGTTGTGGGGATTTGAACCGCCGACCTTCTGATCGGCAAGTCCTAGGCTCTGTGGTTTAACCCACAGCACCTCCCACGTCCCATTCATGTAAGTGGTATACAAATGTAATAACAACAACACCACAACTCAGCCCAAACCTGAGCAACTTACATAAATCCTTTCCCCTCTGAAACCTATTTATAAAAAAAAGTTTGAAAATTTGGATTTGGAAGAAAATAACACAAAGAACAATTTGTAAATTTGTTTCACTGAAATAGCAGATTTTGATTCCACCATGTGAGTTTCTCTAGTTTAGAATACAGAACTTGCTTACGAAACAAACACAATTCCATTTGCAGCTACAGCAGCAAAGAAACTCAAATGCCTTTTTCTTTTCTTTTTTCCTGTTAGGACTGATTTCTATGTCCAGGAATTTAAAAAATAGCACAGATGCTCACCAGTGTTTTGAGAAGGAAGAGGCAGGGAGGCTGTCTGACTAATTTAGAAACATGGATATTCCGGGCAAATCATTTTTTTTCCTACCTAGGGAAATTCTCACTCCCCGCCTCCTCAGTAACATTTCCTGGACACAATATAAAAGACAGGGCTCATGGCTCACAGTTAAGTATCAGCAAGTGAAAGCTGTAAGACGGGTCCTTGGCCAAAACCTAGAATACTGACCTCACCAAGGACACAGTCTCTACATCAAGGCAGCTACACCAGCATACTTCTGAGAATCAGGATTCTGCAGCCATTGTTGGTAAGTAAACAAGGCTCTATGGCATGTTTATTTTTATTGCATATTAATAAACAGATAGTAAGCCATGTATGTATTGTACCATTGCTGAAATGCAAAAATGCATAAGGTGCCGAACTCAAAATAATGATGATTCTTGCCCATAACGAAACAATACCACTTGGAAAAGAATTCCATGTGTGTGATTTGTCCATTTCTTCTAAGAACCTAGATTCAGGTAGGTAGCCATGTTGGTCTGACGCAGTCGGAAAAAAATAAAAATAAAATGTCCAGTAGCACCTTATAGACCAACTAAGCTTGTTCTGGTATAAGCATGCACACATGCACAAAAGCTTATACCAGAACAAACTTAGTTGGTCTATAAAGTGCTACTGGACAATTATTTTTTTAATTTTTTTAATTATTTTTTTTTCAATTTAAAGCTAAAAAGCAGGTTTTCCCCTGGGAAAGGAGTGGGGCAAGGGGAAAACCACTCAGGCCTGTGTTTTCTAGGCACGGGTCAAGATGAAGTGTGGGCGAACCCTCAGTCAGAAGTAAATCCTATTTAATTCAATTACTACCAAGTAATTATGGATACATAGGATTGTAGTCTCAGAAAAGTACAAACCTCACAGCCTAAAACCATGTCCCAGTGTTCAACCTCAATATATTTTTCCTCTGCTTTAAAACCCATTCCTTACCATAAATGTGCTGCGCTTCCTTTTTTCTTTATACAGCAAATTCTGCAAAGTGAACCCAAGGGAGGGAGAAAAAAAGATTTATAGTCAGTTCCTGCCATAATGAACGCCCTTTGGTTCCTGTCTGCTCTCACCTATGGTAAGTAATGTCTTTCAGAATGGGAAATCCTCTAGAAAAGGGGCGGGTGGAGTTCAGCTTTCTGGGAACTCCTTTGGTTTTTAGTACAGCCCCAAACGGAATTGTTTGCAGCCTACAATTATTGGATGAATTACTTAGCTCACTCTTATTTGGCTGCCTTATTTGCCCAGACAGGCGCATTATGTGGCCCATGAGAGCAGCAAAATAACCCAGGCCAAATCTTTATTGACAGCAGCAGGCAGGGCAAGGGTTGGCATGGCATTGGGTCCCAGGATCAGTTCATCCTTCCACCATGTTGATGGGATGGATCTGCCAGGTTTGGACCGCTCCAAACCTGTCCTGTGGGTGTCAGCCTGTGTTGAACCTTGTTGTGGTGTAAGCCAAGCAAGCAAGGTATCAATAGGTGACCAGGCTGCAGATTCCAACCAGGCAGAAATCCATCCCAAGCTTGGGTTTGCCATGGTCAATCCTCCCCTTAGCCCTACCCCCTACTATGTTGATCCTGCCCAGTGCCATTTCCGCCTACATATAAACAACGTTCTTCTGCCTAACGAAGGCCACAATTTCACTGAAGGAAAGGTGGAGAAAAACCAACCAAGTGCCAATCAGATTACAGAGAAAAATTCCTTTCTGGCCCTGTCAACTAGTGACCCAAAATTGCTCAGTGAAGGCTCTAACCCTTGCCCAGTTTTTTGCTTCAGTCTACGGGCCACAGCACCACCAAGCAAAGGCATCCTAGGCGCATAGGGTGAGGAACGGGGCTTAGATGGGAAAAGTCATTTTGCTGTTGCTTGGGTTAGAAAGCTTGCCAATTTAATGAACCAGAGAGCTGTTTCCATTTACCTTTTCCCCAGTCCTGCTCTAGAATAATTCAGGAAACTAGAGCACGGGAAGTCAAACAAAATAGTTTAATTTGGTACTGAAAAATTGGCTTTTTTAATTGTATTGTAATTTGGTATTGTATTAATGTGACTTTTATTGGATTTTTATAAATGGAAATTAATAAAAATTATTATATGGGGGGGGGAATAATTCAGAAATCGACATTCCTTGTTTGATTTTTCTTTCCTCTGTAAGCGGCAGCCCTATTCTGCAGACATTTTTAAAAAGTATACTGAAAAGTCAGAAATGGACAGAAGTCATATTTTGATTAAAAAATGAATACAGAGTGTAGCCTCTCCTTCTTGACTTCTTTGACCAGTTGTCCAAAGCCATGTTATTTCTTCTCTTTGTCTTCCATCTAGCCTAGAGAGTTCAGGAGACCTTTCCTCCTTGACTGCTCACTGGTTTTCTTGGCACTTTTAGGCCAGTCTCCAATCTCATTTGCTTTCCTCCACCACCCATCTTCATAGCTATGAATTTCCCCTTGTTCACAAGTAGGCTCTTTACTCCCAAAGGGCCTCAAGCTTCTATTTCTGCGTCTCAGGTCCATCATTGGGAATGACATGGTTGTTCACCATTTTTAGAGCAGGATGCTGCTCCTTCCACCGTTTACCACTTGATTTGGCCGTCTGTCTATTTTGTCTTCTTACTCCAGCATAAACCTTGTTTCTGAACCCTCAAGGCTTGGAGAGGTCTTTGAGCAACATTTTCTAAATAAATAGACATACATAGCAACTTGATGATGTGTTCTTTTTTCCAGGACTTTTGTTGCTTAAGGAAAGCACCTGCTGGACATATCATTATTCACTTGAAACCATGAATTATACAGAAGCTGAGAAATGGTGTAAAACCCACTTTACCCACCTGGTTGCGATTCAAAATAAGGAGGAAAATGAGTACTTAAACAAAGAGATCCCTTATAATGGATCGTACTACTGGATTGGGATCAGAAAAATTGGCAATGTGTGGAGGTGGGTGGGAACGAACAAGGCATTGACTGAAGAAGCTAAAAACTGGGCAAAAGGTGAACCAAACAACAAAGGGAAAAACCAGGACTGCGTGGAAATCTACATCAACCGAATACAAGATGCAGGAAAGTGGAATGATGAACGTTGCAGCAATAAGAAAAGGGCTTTGTGCTATACAGGTATGGGATGGGATCCTTCTGACTAATATATTTGCCTCTAAAACAGCTAGAAACATGTTTGGCAGATCCTACTGGCTTCTGTGCAAGAGAGCATCTTCTTGTATTGTGTGGCGTGCAGACTGCTGAATGTTCAGGGATCGTCCACACTTTTTAAAATTTACTTCATTTGTTCCATGCCCTTATTGCATGGGTCTGAGTGGTTTCCTGCTTGTCCCATTCTTCCTAGGCACAGGTCCAAGAGGTTTTCCGTTTGCATCACTGCTTTCCCCAGGAAAACCCACTTTACCGCTGAATTGGAATAAACGTCAGTCCCTGGGAAACCCAGCTGATATTTGCTCTGATTCAACGATAAAGAGGGAAGAACCCTAAATAGTCGCAGGCTTGCACCACAGTTCCACTGTTCTCTATTCAGTCTATTCACTCTTCAATATCAGCACTATAATAATACTACCTGCCTATGGGGTGTAAATGTAATATGGGTTAGGGACAGAATGTCAGTAAACGCCTTTTGATCATCAGCGGAGTCTTTCAGTTTGTTTGTTTATCAATAAACTAATAAACCGATAAAGTAATAAAAAATAATAGTATGTTTCTTGCTCAAACTGTTGCTGGTGTCTGTAAGCCTGAGATGACTTCAAGAGGGCCAGTTAGTTAAGCTGTCCATTTTACTCATTTGCACAAAGTTTGCAAGGGGGTTGTGCAAAGTCAGCTGTTCCTTGTTCTGATTTGTTCACAAGGAGGTCTTAACTAAGGTTACCAGATTTCCTTGTTTCCCAGGGACAGTCCCTGGATTTTCAAATCAGTCCCCATACAAAATCCATTGAAGTTGAAAAGTGTTCCCGGATTCATTGAAAAAAATCTGGTAACCGTAGTCTTAACAGCTGTTAATCCCACACAGCTGTTAATCCCCTTATCGCAAAAAGTATGATGTTTATTTTTATCGGGTGGTGGGAGCAGGTTTGCTGCACAAGAGCATATACATCCACCTCAATTTTGGATATAGCCATCTGATTTTGCTGGTGTGTGATTGAATCCCATTTGCAAAACAGCAACAGTGTGGAAGTGGCCTAAGCTGGGAAAATAAGCACAGGACAACTGTGCCGATGACACCTTGTGATAGCCAAGTGATATGCAGTGGTGCAGTGCTCTATAGTGAAACCATATCAAAGACTGGTGAAAATAAAACTTTTGCATAAAAGGAAGAGAATGGAGAACCCTCCAGTAACTCCAAATTGTGGATTTCTCTGTTCTTTGCTGCCTTGTGGAACATGTTCCCCCTTGGACCCACAGAGCAGAAAAAGATGGGCAGCACCCAAAGGGCATGAGGCCAAGAAAGAGGATGTGAAGCCTGAAGATGTGGCCTACATATGATGCGATATTAAACTCAAAGTGGTTTAATGCATCAATGTCTTCAGGGCCAAGAGCCTGTTCCACTCAATTGTTGTAATAGTTCATTTAAAGCATGTTACATATGATGGGGTCATTTATAGCCTGTTAATTGTCTTGCAGCCTCCTGTAATCTGCATTCCTGCAGCGGCCATGGCAAATGTGTGGAGACCATTAATAATTACACCTGCCAGTGTGATACAGGATTCTACGGGCGCAATTGTGAACATGGTAGGATTAATCGTATAGTTCTTTTTCAAACCGGGCAATTCATCTCTAACCCTGTAGCTTTAATGCACGTTGCTTGAAACAACGGCCTTGCCTAACTCCTTGCTTGTTGTGTTCCTTCTCTATAGTAATTACCTGTGACACACTGAAAAACCCAGATCATGGTACCTTAGAATGCAGCCACCCAGTGAAGGATTTTAGCTACAACTCGTCTTGTCATGTTCAATGCACCGAAGGCTACAAATCCACCGGACTGGAACCCGTATTGTGCACCGATTCTGGAAACTGGTCTGCACCCACCCCTTTGTGTAAAGGTCAGTGAACTGAGCGAGTCCTAAATGAATGAAAACTAATGCAGAACCTCTTAGCTTAACCCTAGAAGTGATGAGGGAAGTGAGTCTTCATTAGCCATACAGCATCAAAATCTTTGCTAAGTTGGCAAAGGACATTGTTTTGTGCTAGATTCTGTGGGAGTTGTGACAATACAGTCATACCTTGGATCCCAAACACCTTGGTACTCAGACGTTTTGGCCCCCAAACACCGCAAAACCCGGAAGTGAGTGTTCCAGTTTGCGGACTTTCTTTGGAACCCAAATGTCCGACAAGGCTTCCACAGCTTCTGATTGGCTGCAGGAGCTTCCTGCAGCCAATCAGAAGCTGTGCTTTGGTTTCTGAACATTTTGGAAGTCGAACGGACTTCTGGAACGGATTCTGTTCGACTTCCAAGGTACAACCCAATAGGATAGCCCAAACCACCTTCAAATCCCAAGTTCTCTTTCTCTGGGGGGTGTTCCCTGAGACAGCCAAAATGGCACCACACATACTTAAGAGGTGAGGAATCAGGCAGGCTTGGGAGAGCCCTAAGGTTTGTAGCAGTACAAACAAAAGAAAACAACCCACATTTTAAAAAATTAAGGGAATACACTTCCCCAAAACCGGCCCAGAGTATGTTCAAAAGCCACAGAACAATGACTTGGTGTAGGAAGGGAAGAAATGCAAGCAGTGAAGATGGAATGGAGTATCTGAAAACTGTGTGGGTGGGTGTGTTTTTGTAATGGAGCAACCTAGAAAAGTGCTTGGCCAGCTGGAACCCTGAACAGGAGCACTCCACACAGCAACAATTTGTTTCAGGTCCCACTTTTAAATTTGTAATAGTCATCAAACTGGAAAAAATTGTCACGTCTTTGGTAGTTAGGTGAGGAATCCATGTTCGGCTTCAGGTACCGTGTATCTTATGGACTGGAGAACAAAGACAAACCTAAAGCATTTTGATTGCATTTCTAGTTGCGGAATGCCATGCGCTCCAGACACCTGCTCACGGGTTCCTCAACTGCTCCCACCCCTCTGGGAATTTTGCCTGGAATTCGTCATGTGAGTTTGGCTGTAAAGATGGCTTCGCTTTGAGTGGCTCCAGCAGGCTGCAGTGTCAGGCATCTGGAGAGTGGGACGGACAACAGCCAGCCTGTGAAGGTACTAGTTTTGTTCCATTGCCTTGCTTACCTTCACAGAGCTCATTATATTTCTCTGTGCGCACACCCTGCCCCCCCAACACTCTCCTGTTATGTATCTGGATTAACCAAGGTCACGATCTGTGTCTGTTTCAGCGGTGAAATGTGAAGCGGTACCTTCGCCTGAAAATGGCTCTGTGAGTTGCTCCCATGTGGACGCAGAACTGACCTACAACTCAACCTGTGATTTTGTATGTGAGCAGGGCTACGCCTTAAGAGGATCGCCTCAAATTCAGTGTTCTTCCGAGGGACGCTGGTCACAGCCAATCCCTGCATGTGAAGGTAGGATTTCCTATCCACGGGAAAGAAAATGTTCTGGAAAATCTGCAGTTATGATTTTTATTCCATTGGTTTAAATTGAGCTGAATCCCACTCATCTCTCTAACTTGTTAATCTGTTAAAATGGTTTGTAATGAAAGCTTTCAACACATCTCTGGAAATACCGTATTTTTTGCTCTATAAGACGTACCAGACCATAAGACGCACCTAGTTTTTGGAGGAGGAAAACAAGAAAAAATATTCTGAATCTCAGAAGCCAGAACAACAAGAGGGATCGCTGCGCAGCGAAAGCAGCGATCCCTTGTGCTGTTCTGGCTTCTGGGATAGCTGTGCAGCCTGCATTCACTCTATAAGACGCACACACATTTCCCCTTACTTTTTAGGAGGGAAAAAGTGAGTCTTATAGAGCAAAAAATACGGTAGTTGTTTTGAAAGAGCTGGAAACAGGCTGGCTGGCCTGCTTCTGTTCCTACTAACTGATTCTGGCCCCTGGTGTTTTCAAAAACCAAATCAGAAAAAGAAAGAAAGCATTGTGAACCACTGTTCCTTTACGTTTCTTTCAAATAGCAGTCATGGGAGGGGCAATCCAGATCAGAACCACAAGGTGAGGCTTTTTTACCATTTTGCCAATGGGTAAAGGAGCCTTCCTCCCCAAAGCTGCTATTTGTCCCAGGTCAGAAGTCCCACTTACACATCTAAAGGCTTATCAAGACTTTCTACTGCTACATTTTAGCTCTAACTATTATAAAAACAGGTATTGCCTTTCACGTGGCAAGATATATTCAAGCATGGAAGTGTTAATGTGTAGTTCAGCCCAAAGAAACATGGGAATACAGTGGTACCTCAGGTTAAGTACTTAATTCGTTCCGGAGGTCCGTTCTTAACCTGAAGCACCACCGCCGGAGCCCGATTTCTGTTCTTATCCTGAAGCAAAGTTCTTAACCTGAAGCACTATTTCTGGGTTAGCGGAGTGTGTAACCTGAAGCGTATGTAACCTGAAGCGTATGTAACCCAAGGTACCACTGTATGTTTTCCCATAGCATGCAGGCCCTTCACACTCCCTGCCCATAGTAGTGACGACTGACCTTTCATTAATGCAACTTTACAATTATGAGCTCCCCACCCCAACTGAATTTCAGAGTGAGGGAATCTTGCTGCTCTCTAGCATCTTGCCTCTAACAGTAGAGTCTAACACTTTGAAACCTTCAAGCCTCCCAGTCCATTCACCTGCAGCTCCCTTTCCCATCCACAAAAGCCTAAGCCCATCTTGTCGCCAGGTATATTTTTTCTTGTTACCCCCAAGACAGAACTAATGCAGATGAATATGTCATTTAACAGCTGTGGAGTGTAGTGAACTGAAACCTCCGGTTCATGGCTTCTTGAACTGCTCTCACGCTTCTGGGAATTTTTCCTGGAATTCAACCTGCAAGTTTGCCTGTTCAGAAGGGTTTGTTCTGAGAGGGTCCAGTGAGCTCCAGTGTGGTGCCTATGGAGAATGGGATGGACAAAAACCAGAGTGTGAAGGTACTATCTCATTTGGGCCGTTGCCTTTGTCTGCCTTACAGGATTATTTTTTTCTTATTTCCGGTGTCCCAGTGACATGCAAACTAACCGTAAGTTTCAACTGTCTCTTACAGCAGTGAAATGCGAGGTGGTCCATCAGCCCGAAAGGGGCTTTGTGAAGTGCTCCCACCTGGATACAGATCCAAGCTACAATTCAGTCTGCCAATTTAGTTGTGAGGAGGGCTACACCTTGAGAGGATCATCCAAAATTCAATGCACATCCAAGGGACGCTGGTCAGAGCCAATTCCTGTTTGTGAAGGTGAGACTTAAGCCCATCTCGACACATTTCCAAATCAGTTTGCAGATACTTTGAAATAAAAAGCCCTCAGGAAAATTCATCAGCATTGTAGTATGCATTTCTCCTAACATACCATTTTTGTGTACAATTTTGCACAATATATTCAAGAACTACCGTATTTTTTGCACCATAACACTCACTTTTTTTCTCCTAGAAAATAAGGGGAAATGTCTGTGCGTGTTATGGAGGGAATGCCTACGGGTGGCGGGGGGGATCTGCTGCAGTCATGAGCAAAGGATCCATGGTTTCCCTTCCTTCCCTCCTCCGTGGCTCGCTTTGAAACAGCAAAGTGGGAGAAGAGCCGCTGAGTGGGGAGGAGAGAGAGACAGAGAGCCTGCTTCTTTAAAGGAGCAAAGCGGGAGAGGAGAGGAGCCGCTTACACGAGTGTAAGCAGCTCATGTCCGGTTGGTTCCTTTAAAGCAAGCAGGCTCTCTGTCCCTCTCTCCTCCCCACTCAGCTCGCTACATAGCAGCAAAGTTTTTCAGCTTGCTAAGCTGGGGATGAGCGGGGAGGAGGGAGAAAAGCAGAGCCTGCTTGCTTTAAAGGAGCAAAGTGGGAGAGGAGAGGAGCCTTCTCCCCTTATACTCCTCTTCTGCATTATTAGCAGCATCCTTCTCCACCTACCCCACGCGTACTCCTTCTCCCCTTAAACCCCTCTTCTGCATTATTAGCAGCATCCTTCTCCACACACCCCACGCATGCTCCTTGTCCCTTGAGTGCTTTTCCTTCCCTCCCCACTTAAAACGTGGTTACAAAGATTGGATTTTTGCATTGGGCTACTCCAAACTCACTGTCAGATCACATGTCTGTGGCCACAGCATGAACCACAAAAATCATACATCCACTGTTTCGTTTAGAATATTTTTTTCTTGTTTTCCTCCTCTAAAAACTACGGGTGCGTGTTATAGAGCGAAAAATACGGTAATATATGCAAGAGCCAATAAATGCATAGATATTTTCACTAATAAATGTTTTTATCAATATTTTTTTGATAGGAGACTTGAATCACAAAATATAGAGGAGGGGAAATTTTGAAGGATAGCTTTGTTTCAGTTTGTGTCTTGTTTTGGGAAATGCAAATGATGTAGGATTGCATTTAAATCAGAACCAAACCAAATTTCTCCCCTGTCTGTAGTAGAGTTGTATCTCAGGCCTATTATTTATTTTGCTATATTGATAGTCTGCTCTTTAATTATATTCCAAGTGGCTAGTTCATACAAGTAGCAAGATGAGCAGGCGATCCTGTTTCTAGACTACACTACTTTAGTTTGCTGTTACATGAAAAATAGATCAATGTTCACAGAAACTTGCAGTTTACTAAACTTGAGTGGAATCTGCACACATACAAAAAATGCTCTGAAAATGCTTTTTATAAAAACATTTTGGAAAATGTATTGAATTTGCCATAGCTCGCTGTCACCATCTAGTGACACATTTGTATATTGCACTTTAAAACTCAAAACGTTTTATTCGCAGCTGTATAGCTGAGTCCTTAGGTTAATATCTGCATCATTGTATTTCAGCAATACAGTGTGAAATACTGACACCCCCTGAGAACGGCTTCTTGAATTGTTCGGACCCTGAGAGACATTTTGTCTATGGCACAATTTGCGAGGTCAGCTGTACAGAGGGATGGGTGCTGAATGGTCCCCACAGACTCCATTGCCTGGCTGCAGGAAACTGGACGTCAAGTCTTCCCACATGTGGAGGTATCCACTCACTCATCTCATTGCTATCCTTTCTTGTAGTGCCAGCAGTGTAGAAGAGACCTTTGAGTGATCTTGAAAATCAGAGTGGGAAAAGGAAGCATTTTTAGAAACACATAATGGAGGGTCTAGGGACACGGGTGGCGCTGTGGGTTAAACCACAGAGCCTAGGACTTGCCGATCACAAGGTCGGCAGTTCCAATCCCCGCGACGGGGTGAGCTCCCGTTGCTCGGTCCCTGCTCCTGCCAACCTAGCAGTTCGAAAGCACGTCAAAGTGCAAGTAGATAAATAGGTACCGCTCCGGCGGGAAGGTAAACGGCGTTTCCGTGCGCTGCTCTGGTTCGCCAGAAGCGGCTTAGTCATGCTGGCCACATGACCCGGAGACTGTACGCCGGCTCCCTCGGCCAATAAAGCGAGATGAGTGCCGCAACCCCAGAGTCGGCCACGACTGGACCTAATGGTCAGCGGTCCCTTTACCTTTACCTTTTAATGGAGGGTCTCTTCTGATGCAGCTCTCTGAAGATGGTTGGATAGGGGAAACGCTTATATGAATTATGGGAGATAAGGAACCAGTCGTAAACAGGAGTTTATCCACGAGGGGGAATCCTGGTAACATGGTCCCAGGCAAAGCGCTGCTATGGAGGAACTAAGGAGAGATTACAGAGGAACAGAAGTGCTGATTTGAAGCTTCCTGTGCTATAAGCTCTGACAGCTATAAAGTATTACAAGAATAGTGATTTACTACTGATTTCATTCTCCTTTTTCCAACTTCAGCTCCTTCAGCATCTTCAAGAAACGTGACAATTGCAGCCACAGTCACTTCAGCCTCGTTGTTTTCAATAGGATCGTTCCTTATTTGGCTCATGAAGCGTTTTCGGAGGAAAGGTGAGATATTTCCCTCATCTGTTTGTTACCAGGCTACACCTAGGACTCGGGTACACAGTTTTAAATGCGTAGCAAAGTGCAATATACAAAATGTGACACCAGATGGCGACAGTGAGCTATGGCAAATTCAATATCGTTTTCAAAACGATTTTTTTTTAAAGCACTTTCACAGGGTTTTTTTATGTGTGTGTAGATTTCACCTTAGTTGCACTCAAAGGGTTGAGGCAGAAATACGGAGTATAATAGAATCACAAAACTGTAAAGTTGGAAAAGACCCTGAAGGTCATCTAGTTCAACCCCCCCCCCCCCCATGCAAGAATCTCAACTAAAGGCATTAACACTTACCTGAATCAGAGGTTGCCAATGCACTTACTGGTCTCTCCTATGACACCCATGAAAGGTCTCAGTTAATATTTCCTCAATAATCCACACTGCACAAGAGGCAGGTTGCTTTTTCTGCTCAGTACTTGTTTGCACTCACACAGAGCCTAGGGCTTGCCGATCAGAAGGTCAGCGGTTCGAATCCCCAAGACGAGGTGAGCTCCCGTTGCTCAGTCCTAGCTCCTGCCAACCTAGCAGTTCGAAAGCACGTCAAAGTGCAAGTAGATAAATAGGTACCGCTCCGGCGGGAAGGTAAATGGCGTTTCTGTGTGCTGCTCTGGTTCGCCAGAAGCGGCTTAGTCATGCTGGCCACATGACCCGGAAGCTGTACGCCGGCTCCCTCGGCCAATAAAGCAAGATGAGTGCCGCAACCCCAGAGTCGGTCACGGCTGGACCTAATGGTCAGGGGTCCCTTTACCTTTACCTTTAGGCATCCTTGTATTAAACACTCTTCCTTAAACTTGCCCACATTTCATGGGATGCCAGGAGTGGATACCCTCCGTTCTATTCTGAACAGAGGAGAGGTGCAAAAAGTGTGATGTAAGCAATGTGATGGCCGATGTAGGGACCAGTTTTCCCCATTGATGGGGGTGGGGCCTGGTGGTGGGGCAGGCCTGCATAATATTGACGTCCTCTCCGTTTCTGTGACTGGTGCCTTACAGCACTTTCTCAGAATTCCACATGTGTTCACTGACCCAAAAAGTCTGGCAACCCCCGATTCACACAGAATTCCACATATAGCCCTAGTGTGTAAAAGAGTGCAAGAGGCCAGGTCGAATGTGTCCATCTTAGTACAGCTAAGAAAGTGGAATATTAGCAAAATAACGTGGAGGCAGCTCCTGGGAATGTGGAAACGTTTCCCTAGGTACTTGTGCACAGAATTGCAGCCTTGGTCTCCAAATACTAATACTTCCTCTTCTTCTTTTGCAGCGAAGAAATTTTCTCCTGCCAGGTACGTTGCGTTTCAAAACTTATGTGGAAAATTCAAAGTAATATTTTCTTTACATAGCACTGTTTTATGGCAGAGTGATTTATTAATACATGCATTTTTAATTTCTGTTTTGCAGCAGTTGCTACAGCGTGAATTCTGAAGCTACTTTTGGTCACCTGATTTAATTCACTCAGGTAAGCCATGAGAAAGTTCATTTGGAAAAGACATATAAAGCTGAGAGTAGGGGCCTTTTTATTTTTTATTTTAAATTTTTTAAATTGATTTTTAAGTTTTTACAGATTGGTCACTAATTTAAGCAAATTAAATTAAATTATGACAAATAACTTTTTTCCAAATCTGACTTCTCGCACACCTTCCTAGATGTGTCATCGGTTCTCCTTAGTGCTGCATCATATTCCCCAATTAATTCTAGTTTAACTTCAAACACTACAGATAACCTTACATTACAATATACTTGCGTTTTTGACTTAATTCCTTTTCAGACAACTATCCATCAATCAATTCCTGCACGTATATTAAATTAACATTTCCAGTTTCAACAAGTGAGGTCACTTATCAGATTGTCAATCCCTACTAAATCATTGATTAAACATAGAATAAAACTTCCTCTCCAGCCCTCTGTGTGTCTAGAAATATAGCAATCTTCTTATTGCTCAGCTCCTTTGTCCAACATCGGATGTAGTCTGTATTCGTTCTCTCTCTCTCTCTTTTTAAGATAGGAACTCCAAGGTCGATCATCTCACACAGTATATTTTCCCACCAGTGACATCATAGCAACCAGCCCATGGTATCCACATTTTCCTAGATAATCCAAGTTCTTGTTTCAGCCTCTTCCCCTGATCCGAGCCCCTTGGCCACAGATGTATATGTAATAAGAATTTGTGGTTGTGATCCTTATCCACACTTACTTGGGAGTAAGCGCCACTGAATTTCAGTGGGACGGAAAGGTGTAAATATGCATAGGATTGTATAGTGTACAAGGTTTTTCCTGAATGCACCTCTTTTAAATTGCAAACATTGTTATTTTTGTAGGATTTCAAGCTGTCTTCTCTGGAGTATGTGAGGAAGGAGAATGAAGAATGGCCATAAGTCAGGCATCAGAAGTTCTTGTGTTTTATCAATCAGAACAGCCTGAGCTAAACATTTGCTTTCTGCAAGAGAATATGGCAGTGCCAGTGTCCATCAGGCTTCTCAGAACATGGACAAAGATCAAACGTGGTGCCTCTGGCAGAGAGATCTGTCATCCTGGAACTGAAGAGAAGGTACCACAGTAACCTGAGAAAAATCTTCCTGCTACACCAAAGCCATCCGCCACCTACTGAGGAAGAGCACTGAATAGTCAGTGTGAAAGATATTTGAACAGCGAGTTCCCTTTCATTTCAATGAGTCTAGCAGGGAGAAATTTCTGGATAATTACCCACATTTCGTGGGATAAAATAATTCTTTGTATAATGCTTAGAGTTCAAATGCAGTAGTGGAAAAATTCACATTCCGATTCTTAACTTTTAAATGCATATGTTGAAATCCTCACCCAGAATTTTGCATTTTGATTGCCATACAAAATAGTTGATCTATGCCAAAGTCCATATATATATATATATATATATATATATATATATATACACGACTGTGAAAATGTGCTGTTTTGATTTTAGATTCTGCTTGGAGATGGGTTTTAGATTTGCACCTTTGAATAGGAAACATTTTGTTTCACATCCTAAAAGTGTTTTTTGAAACCCAGACTTCAAGTTCTTATAGTCACAAATATTTGCCGAAAAATAAATGTGGATGAGTTTCACCTCTTCCTCCTGGTGCGGAAGATATTGTTTTGTTTTTAAAAAGGTAAAGGTACCGCTGCCCGTACGGGCCAGTCTTGCCAGACTCTAGGGTTGTGGGCTCATCTCACTCTAGAGGCCGGGAGCCAGCGCTGTCCACAGACACTTCCGGGTCACGTGGCCAGCGTGACAAGCTGCATCTGGCGAGCCAGCATAGCACACGGAACGCCGTTTACCTTCCCGCTGGTAAGCGGTCCCTATTTATTTACTTGCACCCGGAGGTGCTTTCGAACTGCTAGGTTGGCAGGCGCTGGGACCGAACGACAGGAGCGTACCCCACCGCGGGGATTCGAACCGCCGACCATGCGATCGGCAAGTCCTAGGCGCTGAGGTTTTACCCACAGCGCCACCCGCGTCCCTTTATTTTGTTTTAAGTGAGCTCTATTTATTTATTTATATTTATTAAACTTACTAGTTGCTTGTAGCCTGAAGATCTCCAAGTGACTTACAGCAATATTTATATATATATTATCTAGCTAGCACTGAAATTAATTTTAGGATAGTAGCATCTGTTTAATTTCTTAAATGCTGACTTTGAAACATTTATCAAAGCTACCATAACCTTAATTCAGTTATAGCAATGTAGATTTTTTTCCTTTTTGGCTGCTATGTTTTACAGAGCGTTTTAACTATCAGAGCCTCCTTTGTGAAAGCAAAAGTGTAATTAAATCCAAGGCGTTAGAAATTTTTCATCCCTATGGGATTTAGTACTGTAATTTCAATTATATTGATTATATTTATTGCTTGGGCATTTTCATTTCAGGACAAAAAAAAAGATTATCTACAGAAAAAAGTAGTAGAATTAATTATATTTACTAAAAATCCTCCTAATAAATAGCAAAGCTAAAAACTGTTGAAACAAATGGAAGCATATTTTCCTTCTTGTGGCTTATATCCACAGTCTTGGAATACCTCGATTTTACTTAATTTGTTCCAATTCAATATTGTTTAAATAGTTTATATTCTTGTATATCAGGCCAACAGCACAAAGGGTGCAGACGGTTACATCCATCCCCAGAAATTCTGTCACTTCTTAATTCTGAATTTTCCTTTGAAGAGTTAAATTACATATTTTAAATTAGGGGGCTGGGGGGGGATGTTTCGATACTATCAAATACAGTTAAAAGGCACTGCTAATTCTGAAAATGATGCCCATGTCCTGTCCTGGGCTTGCCTCATCTTATTTTCCTCTATAAACATTCCATTATATCCATTCATTCAGAATGAATATATCAGTTGCATCTAAGGAGTACTTTGAACTACCTTATAACTGCACCTGCACAAAGCTCTCTACTAGAAATGATACCCTGTTATATATGAAGTACAAAAATACAAAAATAGCAAAAGCTGTTCTGAGTACCTGAAATGTAGAGACTGAAAATTTAACACTTATTTGGTACATGTTCAGACAATTGGGGTATAATTTCAGTAGCATGTTGATGGGTAGCTTCCAGTAAGATCCTGGCAGTAACCCTAAGCATGTTTCCCTTAAAATCAATGACACAATGTACTGTATTTCCTAGTAAACACGGTTAAATCTAGCTTCCTGGGCATCCAAATCTTTTAAATCCTGATCTAAGTATAGACCATGAATGAGCGAGTGAGATTGTCTACCAAGCAATGTGTTTCAGATCAGGGTATTAGTGTTTACCCCTTCAAACAGTGGCGTGGGGTTTCCTTATATTTCAAATCCCCCCTAGAAGCACACAAATAGTTTAAATCTAAAACGTAATAAAATATGGTATGTATTTAATTTATTTAATGTATTTAATTTGGCCGTTGCCAGAAGTTTATTGTGCTTTTTTGTTTACGTGCATTTCCAATAAAACAGTTCTGAATTCAAAGCCTGTTGAAATTTTGCATTATTAAGTCTGAACTGCCTGAGTCTGAACGCACAACTTTCGGTGGCAGCGGCTGTCTGGATTATAATCTTGTTTTGCTCATCCGCCACAAGGACGCAGTTCACAGGAGGAGTGCTCTCTTGCTGCCACAGAGCTTCCATGGAATGAATTGTTCCCTTGACATATTACAAGTGAGAAAACACAGTGTCCGGCAGATGGTGCCATTTGCACAGGACTCCGTGTCTGACAGATGGAGAGGGTGCTTCAGTCACGGTAGAGATGAAAACCCCAAATTCTCTCTTTTTTAAAAAAAATATTTTTTATTGAATGATTTTATGTTACAAAACACATTACAACCATACAAAACACACATATGTACAGACACACACACACAAATGAAAATAATGAAAGTAAATATTTCCCCCCTTTTATCTTACAAAATATTTTCTTCAACTTTGACTTCCTGTCAAGTCCCTTCGCATATGTTTTATCTTACAATTGAATGCACACAAAACAATAAACCTTTCTATATAAATTTTCCAATACATTCTGAAAACACAATAAATCCTTAATTGTTATCCACCTCCTTTTACTTCCTTTGTCACTCGAATGCTAGCACGGAGTCAAAACTATTATTGTATTTTTGAACATAATCTTCTATAATCATCCCATTTTCCCGCAAATTTTTGCTTTCAGTTTCCTCTGAGTTTGCTAGTCAGCTGAGCCATCTCCACCAATTCCTGTAATTTGATTTGACAATCTCTTCTTCTCAAACAAGAGCAACGAGGGGCCAGGGCCATAGCCAGCCGCTGAACCCTCCCTAGGTGGGGCCTGCCCCATTTCCAGGAGGGTCTTGAAAGAAGCCAATTCCTTCTAGAAACCCTGTTGCTTCTGCATACATTTTAGCGTTTATGAATTGTTAGCCTCCGGAAATTATTTTAAAATATGTCTATGCCACTATAGTTCCATGCGAGTTTACAAGGATTGAAATAACACACGCAACCAAAACAACAACCACTCAGCAATTGAAATAGAACAGAACATAGATGCTGAATAAGAATAATAATCTTTTATGTTCAGAAGCATTAACATACAGACTCCTTAAATAAGCCATAGTTTTCTCAAGCAATCCTACAGCCGCTTTAAAGCACCTCACCATGCTCACAGTCCTAGGAGTGAATTCCTTCCCTTTTTTTGGCTCAAGAGCTGCCTTCACTTTTTTTTTTGTTAAATAATTTTTATTAATTTTCAATTCCAAAAATCTAATATGTGCGTATTATATTAACACCAGATAGCAATAACAATTCAAATACAAATCGATTACATTTGTTGTTGTTTAGTCGTGTCCGACTCTTCGTGACCCCATGGACCAGAGCACACCAGGCACTCCTGTCTTCCACTGCCTCCCGCAGTTTGGTCAAACTCATGCTGGTAGCTTTGTGAACACTGTCCAACCATCTTGTCCTCTGTCGTCCCCTTCTCCTTGTG